ATATTTTAATATAAAAAACCATAATCATGTCATTAAAACAACTTAGGAAAAACAATTTTTAAACACAACTTAGAAGAGACCATAATAATTTCTGAGAGTATTTCTATGGTCCACTTACTACATGAGAACAAAGTAAGGAAACAAAGAATTTTAATTGCTCATTATGTGACACTTAATGAAAGCTGCCTCTGGAATGATTTAGATAAAGGAAAAATAGGATTGTAATTATTACAATTTTTCATACAGGTTTTTTTTGTGTGTTGGTACTGAGAACTGAATTAAATGTGATCCCATTTGAGAAATTATTTACTGGTAATAACTGCATGTATTTAAAATATTTTCATTTATATAGGCCAGAAGACCTTGTGGAGGAATTAAAACTAAAATAAAATACAATTAACATCTGGTTAGATGTGGGGGGAGGGTAAATGAGGGAAAAGACAAACTGAATACTGCAATTATGAACTGAAATAATTTTTAATGATTTTACTCATCACTAACATTTCTCTAGATCACTTTACATGAGGACTCCTTCAAACTCTTCTCCTTACAAAATGAGACTTTTAACAAGCATTTACATTATGACAAAATGGCTATTAAAGGGGCTAAAAAAATCGCCTACATTTTAATCTTATCCTCACCTGATGAAAGATAAAAATGCTAATTTATGTCTTAAACCTGAGTAAGAATTAGGATAACTTAAAAATCAAGAGTTCTGAATTCCCAAAAAATTAAGTGATGGTAAAGAGTGTATTGGCTTTCATGGTCTTAATCTGTGATTTACAATATGCTCTGACTTTGTTGCTTAAAAAATAGAGCAGTATAGACTATAGATTGAGATTTGAAGACATGGAAGAATGGATGTCACAGTTACTACTGCTCAAAATATCATGAAGAATGCACTTGCATTCTAGAAGGCGTCTTCAAGGGAATACTAATTGTACTTCAGATTAAATTAAGAACGATAACAAAAATACATTTAATAAAACTTAGCAGAGGGCTGGGAAGGTGGCTCAGTGGTAAAGCACTTGCCTTGCATGCATGAGGCCCTGGGTTCAATTCCTCAGCACCACTTAAGCAAAAAGAAAAAAGCCAGAAGTGGCGCTGTGGCTCAAGTGGTAGAGCACTAGGCTTGAGCTAAAGAGCTGAGGGACAGCGCGCAGGCCCAGAGTTCAGGCCCCACGACCGGACCCCATAAATAAATAAATAAAAATAAAACAGCAGAAATGCTCAAGCCTACTGTCAATAGATTTCTATATTGACAACATATTTTAGAAATATTATTTTGTAAGCTGTCACCAGTGGCTTACGCCTGTAGTCATAGCTACTCAGAAGGCCAAGATCTGAAGATCGTGGTCCAAAGCCACCCAGTGTAAGAAAGATTAATTAACCACCAATGATTCAAGTTCAAGCAGTAGCCATGAGCCTTCAGTTTAAGCAGTAGTAGCAGGAGCAGGCGCATGCGTATATATACACACACACACACAACTATTTACAGTGTGAAAGGCCTGATAGCATATTTTTTTTAATTACTAAATTCTCAGAATTGTTTTTTAGTTGAGTATTTATAAGGTTTACTATACAAAAAATACAACCTATGTCCTTTTTTTTTTTTTTTTGGTTGGTTGTAGGGCTTGAATTCAGGGAGATAAGAGTCTCATGGACTTTCCTGCCTGTGAACCTCTTAGCCTCCTGAGCAGTTAGGATTATAGGATAGAGCCACTAGCGCCCAGCTATTTAAGTTTAAGTTCTTATTCAGCTAAGTTATTCAAGTAAGAAGTATATTTTAGTGGTATAGTACCTGTACTTTAATTTTCTGTCAGAAGAGGTTAATTTTTCTTTTAAATTCAGCACATTATTATAGATAAGTATGTATGTGTTAAAAACCATCAATTCCTTCTGAAAAACCTATAGCTAAAAACTGTGTTTTTTATTAATTTTTCTGAAAAAGCACTAGGTCTCTTGAAAATATTTTCTATGTCACCGCTTTGCTTTTCATTCTTATTCATTTCTAAGCATTCTTCCCAAAAAAAAAATCAAAAACAAGACAAAATAAACCTACTAAACAAAACTCACACTCACTTCCTATCTATGTGCCCCCATCTCCATTTATTTAAACACATGAACATCACGTTTTTAAGTAGCTTCCTTCATATCTAGAATCAAATGAAATCCTTGCTCTACTAGTTTCTAAATCCATCTCCCTGCTCACTCTCTAATACAGTGAATAAAGATGGAACCAAAGACATAAGCAAGTCCCAGTACCAGCTCTTGGCAAACACACTGAATACTCCAGTGTCTGTTTCACTGCTTGTGAACTTTCACTATTCCTTTCACTACTCCAAGCCAGCCCACCATTCATTTGCATTCTACTAGATTTTTCACAGTAACATTAATTTTTTTAAAAAAATCAAAAGTTTCAGTTTGATTTTAAAGAATTTAAGAATTATACTCATAATCTAAAATTAAAGAGACAAACTTATGTATTTACATACTAATGTCTGTAGTAGCTGTAAGTATGTTTTAATGAGCAGGACCTGATGTTGAGAGATTACTGGGTGGCTTTATTACCCACATTGTCTCAGGTGGAGACAGTGAGGTATAGAGGTTAAGTGATTTCTACAATCTCATGCCATGAGTCATAGAGCTCAAATCCTGTGTCGGCTTTATACCATAAATCCTTCATTTCAAAGAGTATAAAATCAATTCAGTATAATATTGAGAATATATAGGCATTAACTATGAATACTTACTTTTAAAAGGTCAGCCTTTAAACAAGGAAGATTCTTTTAGAAATAGCAGTTATCTTTATTTGCACTTGAAAAATTATTTTTTAAAAATCTCACAAGCTAAGGAGTTTTACTCCTTATCATACACAGTCATTGCTGGTACTAAAGGAAGTGTGGTATAATGATAATGAGTATCCTTCTTTTACCTCTAAATGACTTTGAACAAGAAACTATACTTTTTTTCTTGCTATTTCCATTCTTAGATTCAGAAAATTTTTAATTCCTACCTGACAAAGATAATACAAGGTAGAATTTACTATTTGTGAGTTGTTTTGGGATTCCAAAATGAAATACATAATCCAGCTGATCTTCAACCCTAGAAAAAACACAAACTACACTGAAAATAATTGCTTCACCAGATGCTTCCAAAATATGATATGCCATTAATTATAAAAAGCTTTTTTTATTGGGCTTTTTTTTGTTTGTCTGTCTGTTAGTCATGAGGCCTGATCTCTGGGTCTGGACGCTGTCCCTCAGCTTTTCGGCTCAAGGCTAGTGCTCTACCACTTGAGCCACAGCGCCACTTCCAGCTTTTATTCTGCTTATGTGGTACTGAGGAATTGAACCCAGGGCCTCATGCATGTAAGGCAAGCACTCTACCACTGAGTCACCTTTCTAGCCCTGTAAAGAGTTTTTTAATACAATCTTGATCACAATGAAATAAGGGGACATTTTTCCAAATCTGTCTACAAAGTTCTTTTGCCCAGTTCAAGAATCTAATACTCCTTCAGTAAGCACACAAATTCTATTAAGTTGACAAAATGTGTATGCATTTATTACAGAGAACAGGTGCACTAAAGAAAGTTATGCAATTAACTGCAACATTAATATGTAAAACATAAAGTAACAGATTTGTGTATACAAATTTTGCTAGACTTAAACTTTGTTCTTGGAAAATGAAATCTACTGGGGAATATTGGAATACCCAATTTTAAACATATCTTTGTATAATCAACCTTTAACAAATTTTAACCTCAATTGCTTCTTCTGCTGTGACAGGTAAGCAGAATTATTAAAAATCAAAGCTTCAGTCACTAAGTGTAACAGTAAATATAGTCAGTTTTTACTCCTATGAAATTGCAGCTGATGAGGACAAGTTCTATATTAAGTTGGAAATTTCAAGAACTGAATGGACACCAGCTTAGAAAGAGGGCAGAAAAGACTAAAAGCAGGTTAGAACTCTAGAGATTTAATGAAAAGTAAAAGTGGACACGCGAAGAGGGTCTCTCTACACCAGACAGTTTCAGAAGGAAAGAGAAAACAAGACTGGAAACTGGAAACGGATCCAGAATGGAAAAGAACGGAGGACCGGGCAGAAAGCAAGGCGGCCACGGCCGAGGGCCGAGCGCTGGGGAGAGCCTGGATGAACGCGCGAGCGCAGAGCCATGCTTAAAAACAACACGCAAACACCACAGCAGCTGTCCAAGGAGAGCGAAGACGAGCACCCCAGGAGCAAAACAGGCGACGGTGACCCCGCGGGGCCCAGCGGGCAGAGCGGCTACCCGGGACGCGGCTTCCACCTCAGGGACACGGGGCCAGAAGGCGCGGGATGAAGCAGCAGCACTGGGTGAAGATGGAGGGGGCAGCAGGGCCCCGGGGGGGCGCCGGGGTGTTGGGGGTCACGAAGGGCCGTGAGGGGGACGCCGGGGCCGTGGGAGCCACGAAGGGCCCCGAGGCCGTGGGGGGGAGGGGTGACGCCGGGGCCGTGGGGGCCACGA